CTTAAGCAGCTTTTACTTCAAGTAGGCAATTTACAGAATAAACTACCCAGGTGCCAAATTGCTCAGGATACAGCACTTGTGCTGTTTTTAAAAAAACATTTCCCTCTTCAGAGCAGCTGATGCTGAGGGGAGGGAGGCGCCAGAGTACCCGGCAGCCCCAAACAAGGATTTTTCCCCCTTTTTGAGTATTTTAAAGGCCTTTTCAGCCCTCCAGCTGCCAGGGGGCTGAGCAAGGCCTGTGCTGTTGTTGCTGCAGGCTGAGGAGTTCAGGACAGCCGTGCACATGCTGCTGGAGTGGCTCTCGGAGGCAGAGCAGTCCCTGCGCTTTCGGGGAGCGCTGCCCGACGACGCCGAGGCCCTGCAAGCCCTCATTGATGCCCACAAGGTAATGGGGAGCTGCAAAACACCACCCAGGGCAGGCTTAGAGGGGAGGGGGAATATCAGTAAATATTTCCTTTGTGGCTTGCAGGAGTTCATGAAGAAAGTGGAGGAGAAGAGGGTGGACGTGAACGCGGCGGTGGGGATGGGCGAGGTCATCCTGGGCGCCTGCCACCCCGACTGCATCACCACCATCAAGCACTGGATCACCATCATCAGGGCCAGGTTTGAGGAGGTGAGTCCTGCAGGGCTAGTTCCAGGCTGGTGGTGGTTCCAGAGAGTGGTGGGTCCTGCTCCAGGTTTCCCACACTGAGTGGTCGCCCCGTGTTTCCAACAGGTTCTCACATGGGCCAAGCAGCACCAGCAGAGGCTGGAGTCAGCACTTTCCGAGCTGGTGGCCAATGCAGAGCTTCTGGAGGAGCTCCTGGCTTGGATCCAGTGGGCTGAGACCACCCTGATCCAGCGGGACCAGGACCCCATCCCCCAGAATATTGATCAGGTCAAGGCGCTCATCTCCGAGCACCAGGTGAGCCCTGAGCTGAGCTTGGGACAGGGGCAGGGGAGGGAGGCTTTCCTGGCTCCCTGGGTGGAGGAGGCACTGCCTTCTCCTGGAATTCCCTATTAAAGCAGTGTGGGACCCAACTGGAGCAAATCCAGCCCAGGGATGATCTCCAGCCCTGGCAAACCCAAGCAGCAGCTCAGCCACAATCCCCAATCGCTGCTGCATGATGCTCACCTCCCTCCACAGGCCTGGCATGTCCCAGTGAGGGCTGGAAAGCAAAAAAAGGCTGAAATTACAAAGGGGTTTTTTTTTCATCCTTTCTGTGTTTTGACAGTCCTTTATGGAGGAGATGACACGGAAGCAGCCAGACGTGGACCGGGTGACAAAAACCTACAAAAGAAAAGCGACTGAGCCTCCCCACGGGCCCTTCATCGACAAGTCCCGCGGCAACAGTGAGTCTGCTCTGGGTGCTAGGATGGCAGGAAATGAAATTCCTAAGAAGATAATTAGCTCTGATTATCAATTAACGAGGCATCCTGCGCTAACAGCCACCAGGAAGGCGCTGAGCCTCGTCAGGAGGGGAGAATCCAGGTGACATTTCCCAAATCTGGGTGTGCTGTTCCTGGGGGTGCTCCAGCACTGCTGCCCTCTCTGGGATGAAGTTTTGGGGTCTTTTATTGTGGTTTCTTGAAGCCAGAGCCCAGTGTGGGTTCCTGAGTGCTGGGGGTGTGGGTGTAGAGCTGTCTGTCACCCTGTCCTCCTACCTGGGGACAGCAGCCAGCAAGGCTGTGGGAGGTTTTCCATTCCAAAAAAAACCAAAGCACATTTCACTGCTGCTCTTCAGCCTCCACGAACAGCACCTCAAACAACTCCTCTCCCATTTTTTTTTTTCCCAGGGAAATGCTTGGGGCAGGCTGCTCCCCCCAGCATGCCCATCATCTCCCAGTCAGAAACGAAGAATCCCAGGATAAACCAGCTCTCAGCACGCTGGCAGCAGGTCTGGCTGCTGGCCCTGGAGAGGCAGAGGAAGCTCAACGATGCCCTGGACAGGCTGGAGGAGGTAACAGCCCCTGGCTGCTCCGGGCAGGGTGGGAGCTGGGAGTTCATCCCCAGAGAGGTGCAAGAAGCATTTTAAATCAGTGCTGCCCCAGCTCTTACAGGCAGTTCTGCTGCCTTTTCACAAGTCAAATATTCCTAAAATATTAAGGCTAAAAAACCCTTTGGTGATGAAGTAATTAACTGCACATTAACCAGCTTTATGCCCCTGTATTTGGTAACTGTAGAGTTAATGACAGCCAGGCCCTGCTTTCCTCCTAATAATTAGCTTAACAATTACTGTCTCTATTTTATCCAACCATCTAATGCCATTTTTGTTTTTATTTATGCTTAACAAAGCAGCTATGCCCAGAAGTGAGTGGTTTTTTTTGTTTTCTGTTGCTTTTGCTGTAGGTCAGTTCAGTTCCTTCGTATCCATGTTTTTTCTTTGTTGCTTTTCACCCCAAGAATGTTTAGAGAGAGGAAAAAAAAAACAAAAAAAAATTTTAAATTGTTAAAATTGTTGTGTTACCTTGGTGTGAGCTGCTTGAGCTAGTGGGATCATGGGTCATGGGTGTTCTTTTGGGGTGGGGAGATAAGAGCGTTTAAATTGGAGGGTGTCAGGCTGGGGCTTAAGACGAGCAAGAAATCCGTTCTTGGCTGCTCAGAGGGAAAGGGAGAGGGGAGATTGTGCCCAGATTGATGCTGGCAGTGGGAATTCCTCCCTGGCAAGTGAGGAAGGGCTGTGTGTGTGTGTGTGTGTGTCTGTGTGTGCCTGTAGCTGACCCTCCCTGCCTGTGTGTCCCCACAGCAGTGTGGGCAGCGCTGCATCCCCAGCCCCCTGGGATGCACCAAATCCACCTGCTGGCTGTTGGTTCCCGCTGTGTGTGTCCTGTGCTGGGGATTCGCTTTGGGCAAAGCCCTCGCTGGGAATTGTCTGCAAAAAAATCCAGATAAACCTTCCCAGGAGGGGCGGGAAGGGAGCGGTGGCGCTGTGAGCTCACCAAAGGGCGTTTTGGGGTGGATCTGAGAGCGCTGCTCCTTTGGGGTTTCCACCACTGACTCTCCCTGGGTTTTCCTTCCAGTTGAAGGAGTTTGCCAACTTCGATTTTGACGTGTGGAGGAAGAAGTACATGCGCTGGATGAACCACAAGAAGTCGCGGGTGATGGATTTCTTCCGGCGCATCGACAAGGACCAGGACGGGAAAATCACGCGGCAGGAATTCATCGACGGCATCCTGGCTTCCAGTGAGTCCCTGGGAACCAACCCTGCTGCTCCTGCGTGCCTCTGTCTGATTGAGGAGCTCATCCTGTCCTTGTTTCCTTGCAGAATTCCCCACCACCAAGCTGGAGATGACGGCGGTGGCCGATATCTTTGACCGCGACGGTGACGGCTACATCGACTACTACGAGTTTGTGGCTGCCCTCCATCCCAACAAGGACGCCTACAGACCCACCACTGACGCTGACAAGATCGAGGATGAGGTGAGGCAGCAAAAAAAGGGGGTGCTCAGCAGGGCTGGGGGTGGTTCAGGCTGTGGGGAAGAGAAAAATTCGATTAAAAGAAGATTTTGGTGGTGCTGAGCCAAATTAATTGGTTGGAACTGGGCGTGTTGTAGAAGGAAAGGCTGCTTGGGGCTGTTTTATCAGAGCAGTGATTTGCACTGGGGGAGACTCCCAAAATGCTGGTTTCTCATCTCTTGTGTTGCTGGTGACAGGTCACCAGGCAAGTGGCCCAGTGCAAGTGTGCCAAGAGATTCCAAGTGGAGCAGATCGGCGAGAACAAATACCGGGTAAGGCAGAGAGGGGGATGCAAAAACCCCCCCAAATCCTCCTTCTCCTTCCCATTGAGGGAGGGGGCATCACCCAGGGGGTGCCCAGCTTGGCACAGGGTGGGAACCCGGGGTGAGGCAGAGACCTCGTCCCCTGGCACTGGTGGAGTGGCTGGGATGTGTTTTCCCAGCTCCATCCTTGGCCCCAGGGCGTTCCCTGAGCTGGGAGAACATAAAAGTGTCCCTGTTCTGGGGCAGGCAGCCCAGGGGCCCCGTGAAACGCTGCATTCACTGCGCTGGAGCCGCCCTTGGAGTTTCCCTCCTGGATGAGTGTACCTTGTGCCTGTGTTTTTCTTAGCTCGCTCCCCAAGAAGGGAGAAGGATTTCCTGACAGAATCTCTTTGTTGTGTTTCAAACCCTTCACCCAGGCGAAGTGGCGGCGCAATTCCCTCTTCCCTGTCCCAGCTGGGTTTGGGGTTGATGTTCCAGCTGGGAGGAGCTGATCCCCCCTCCAGCAGCACCGGCCCCAAGCTCCCAGAGCTTCTCCTTCCCCCCAAAAAGCCCAAATTCCCCCAAATTTCTAACTCCTGCAGTTAACAGATTTCATGATTGTTGCACTGTTAATCCCATAAATGTTTTTTTCTTGTTTTTCTTTCCCCTTCCTCTTCCTCTGGACTTTCCTCCCCTGTCCCCCTTCCCTCTCCCTCCATAGTTCTTCCTCGGCAATCAGGTACAGTTTACCTCGTGGTGCTGTCTCTCACCTCTGGAATTTATTTTTAACCCTCTGTGTGTTGTGGTGCTGCTCTCTGTCCTGTGGTGCTGTGGGAGGATGTGATCTGGGAGCTCTGCTCAGCACAGCCTGGTACAGAGGAGTGCCACCCCCCAAAAAAAAAAAAAAAAAAATTGGGCAGAAAAAAGAGAAAAAAATTGATGGAAAAAGCAGGATTTGGTAAAAGTGCAGAGATTTTTCTCTCTGGATTTATTTGGGATGTTCGTGGTGGTGAATTATGGTCACTGGATGTGTTCTCCTGAGGGGCACAGCCTGCACCAGGCTCGGGGTGGGTTTGGGCTGCAATCACCATGGAATGAGAGCTCTGAGTAATCCTGTAGGACAACTAAACCCTCATCCTGCTGCTCCCACTGAGTAACTCCTCACTGGGGCAAGGCTCCCCTCCCAGAACCTGCATGGATCCTGAGAGTGTTGTGACCTGAGATGAGCCCAGCCTCCTTTAGAACAGGACTGGGGCACCCTGTGTCCCTCTGATGTCCCCACTGCCCCTGCCCAGATTAAAATAAACTCCTTTTTCACATGCAGTGATGGTGCCCACCCAAAAATGTGCCCCAAAAGATGCCCAGAATGAAACAAACTTGGATGTTGGAAGTGGATGACTCCTGAGAGCTCTGGCTTTCGTTTAGGCAGTGATAATAGAAATGTCTTCAACAAAAATAATGAGAATTGATTCGTCCCTGGGGTTGGCTCTTGAAGGACATCTCATGTAGAGGTTTCCCTGCCTGTGAGCAGCTCTTTAACTGGGACAAGGACAGCTTGGTAGGACCCTCAAGCAGGGAGCCACCAATGGTCCAGTTCCATATCCCTGTGGGTCAGAGGTGTCACCTGCCCTGACCCATCCCAGACACTTCCCATTCTCTATTTTCACTGGATCTCTAATTTTGCATCTCCACACACAGAAAATGCTCCTGTTGGGTTTTTTTTTCCTCTTTTTTAATAATTCTGGAGAGGGTCTTGCCTCCAAAACCTGGTTCTCCTGTCTTCTCATCCCAGCAGGTGCTCTGCAGACCTGGATGCAGAGCTGCCACATCCCAGCCAGGCTCTCCATGTCCCACCCAGGAGCCTGGGCTTGGGTGCCCAAGAGATTTAGGGGAGCTTTACAAGCACATGCTTTTGATCCGGGGTGCACTTTTGTGATACATTTCAAACCACTAATGAACATCGCAATCACTAATCAGCATTGCTGGGGACTCCTGCCTGGATTCCCATCACTCTGCACTCATCCCAACATCCTCACTGGGCGATTGCTGGGGCTTTGTGGCTGGTGGGGTCAAGTCTGAGGCTCAGGGCAATCCCTGGGTTTCACACTTGGTTGGTGGTGATCAGAGGTGTCTGGCTGGGCTTGTCCTGCTGAATCAGCCGGCTCCTTCCCACATGGGCTGCACCAGGAGGGTCAGGGCATTGCCAGCCTCTATTTCCTTCACAAAAAAAAAAAAAAAAAAAAAAAAAAAAAAAGAGGAAAAAACTAGAATTCTGGCTGTGAAAACCCATCCAACCCCAAATTCTAAAATCTCCTTGAACAGCTTTAAAGTTAAAGCATTTGGGTTGGTTGCATCATCTTCAAACCAGGCAGGTAAACTCCTCATCAATTGAGGATTTACCTCTCACTTATTCCAGAAGAACCTGTCTGGAGAAGCCTTTAAAGTGTGCAATAGGTGGCTGGGAGCCTCTGGTGCAGCCTGGGGAGGGAAGGAGCCGTGTTCCCATGGTTGTTCCCCTTTCCCTGACCCTTTCCTTGCCCCACAGTTCGGAGACTCCCAGCAGCTGCGGCTGGTCCGGATCCTGAGGAGCACGGTCATGGTCCGTGTGGGAGGAGGATGGATGGCCCTGGACGAGTTTCTAGTGAAGAATGACCCGTGCAGAGGTAAGGCTTGGTGCAACCTGAGTCTTCCCACCCACGGAGGGGAGTTTGGACGCTGTGGCTGGGTCATTGTCCAGATGGGCAGGAGCTGGAGAAAACAGATCCAAAGCAAACCAAGAATTCAGAATCACCAGATTTGGTGATGCTGCAGCAAACCTGGCAGTGTTTATCCAGGGAAAGAGGGAAGGGTTGTGTTTTCCTTGGTTTTAAGGCCTCAGCAAGTGGAGCTGGGGTCACCTCCTCCCCAAAACCTTGAGGTGTGACAGTGATCAGAACCCTTGGGCTGGACCAGAGCCATGCCCAGGGGGCAGAGCAGGAATAGCCAGGGGCTGGCCAGGACTGGAGCGTGTTTTGGAGAGTGCTCCACGTTTCCCTGGGGTCTCTGGGGTGTTAATTGCTTCGGCTGTGTCTTGTTCAAGCTGCTGCATTCCGCGCCCCGGCTGCCCGACGGCTGTTGCTGAAAGCAGCATGATTGATTTACAGCGAGCCGAGCTCCCCCTCGGGCTTTTCCTGCTCCTCCTCCGCCCTTCACGCTTTGCAGCAGATGTTTTGCAGCGCTGGCATCGAGGTTGTTGCTATCCCTTGCTTATCTCAGCGTGGTGCTTCCCTCCTGACGTTGCTTTCTTGGCTTTCTGGCCCCGGAATTCCTCCGTAAGGCTCGGTGTGCATGCCCTCGCTCTGTTTGAACACCCCTGAGCATGAGGCACCCAGACCTGCTTCCAACACGTCAGCTGAAGCCCACAGACCTTCTCCCTGCTTGGTTGCCCTTTGCTTGTCAAAAGGAGGCCCTCCAGCTCTTTGAGGCGTTTGGATGAAGGTTTTCTGAAAAATCGGTTTTCAGTGCCTGGTTGGAAAAGCTGGGAAGGTGGTTTTCTCTCCTCTCTCCCCAAAAAATGAGTGGAGAGCTGTGAGAGAGCAGAATCTCTCTCAGATTCTCAAGAATCCAATGGCTGGTTGGAAAAGTTGGGAAGGTGGTTTTCTCTCCTCTCTCCCCAAAAAAATTAATGGAGAGCTGTTGGAGAGTAGAATCTCTCTCAGATTCTCAAGAATCTCAACCCTTCAAAGCTGCTTTTGCTGTTTTTAAGCCACAATAAGGATTACACTTTAAAGATCACACTGGCCTCTGTTGTGACACGGTGAGTTTAAAGGCCATCAGGATGCTTTTCCACAAGAGAGGAACTGAGCATCCCGTGTGAATTCCTGACCCTGGGGCAGCTTTTAATCAGCCATTTTCTCAAAGAGCTGATCCATGGCTTTAAGGCAGAGCAGGAGAACCTCGCTGCTCTCAGAGCTGGCCTTGGGGAGATGCCCAAAGAAGCTGCTCCCAGCCCTGGAGCCTCGTGAGCCCTGATGAGGAAGTTGGATCCCTCCAAAGCTGAGTTCTCCTTCCTCTCTCCCCTGCAGCACGAGGCAGGACCAACCTGGAGCTGCGGGAGAAGTTCATCCTGCCCGAGGGAGCCTCGCAGGGGATGACCCCGTTCCGCTCGCGGGGCCGCCGCTCCAAACCCTCGTCCAGAGCAGCCTCCCCGACCAGGTCCAGCTCCAGTGCCAGCCAGAGCAACCACAGCTGCGCCTCCATGCCCTCCTCTCCTGCCACCCCAGCCAGCGGAGCCAAGGTGGGCACAGGGGGGAGCTTTCCCTTCCCTTTAGGGACTCCAATGGGGAGCTGCAGGTGGAGGGAGGAGGAAGGTTGGGGTCTGGGGGTTTGAGGAGGGCTCTAGAAGGTGCTCCTTGGTGTCCAGGTGGGAAGGGGTGGGATGCTGCAGGACAGATTTCCAGGTTTCCAGCCCTCCACAGGAGGGTCCCCAGCGCTCGCCGTGCAGCTGAAGGCTCCTGGTGCCCGAGGCAGGGCTGTGGTGTCAGGAGGAAACCATCACCCCTCATCTCTCCTTCCCCACCATGTCATTATTTCATCGCCTTTTGGGTTTTTCCCCTTTATTTTAATTTATTCCCAATTCCCGTTTGGTTCTCACTCCATTTTAGTACCGTTTCCCCCCCATTTTCCAGATCACACTCCCATTTCTCTTTTTTTTTATTTTTTTATTTTATTTTTTACCACTCATCCCGCCTCTCCCCCCCCCTCTTTCCTTGGCTTTTCCATTTCACAGACTCCACACCACTTCTCCCGATGTTATGACAAACCCTGGTTGATAAACAGTAAAGCGAGCACCCCCCTGAGGGGAATCGATTATTCCGACTTCCAGCTGCCCAGCACTGAGGTAGAGTATGGTCTGCCAGCCCCCAGGAGCTGCTGGCAGCCTGGAGTGCCCCTGGCACGGAGCCATCCCACTGCCCTGCCTGTTCCTAACGCTTTCCTCCTGGTAGAGCAGCGCTTGTAGCACCGCTAACGCTCCACGTGTTGGTTTTTCATGAGTCTCCAACTCGGATTAAAATTTAAATATCGGCTTCAAAGTGAGGCACGACGCTTTCGGTTCACCCTCACCTGCTTCCAAGCAGTGTTAATCCTCGCGTGCTTTGAGAAATGTATTCATTTTTCCGAGCTTTATTGGAAAGGGGCCGCGTTTGGCTTCCCAAAAAATTGAAACCCGGCGGCCGAGTTGAGACTTGAAAATCAGCTACAGCGCATGCACCGTGAGCACAGCGCCTCAGTTTTATGGAGAGCTTGTGTTTATCACCGCGTTCAAGCACGTCTGGTGTGTCCAGCCACCGCCTTGGTGCTCCCAGGAGGATGAATTTGGGCTGAGGATTTGGTTTCCCTCAAGTTTTCAGCCTCCTCGTGGACTTTTCCTGCCCTTGCGAGTGGGTGATGAGAAGCACCGGGTAGATCCCGGTGGTTCCCTGTGTCTTGCTGCTCAGCGGCGCTTCCATGTGCAAAATGGATTAATTGGATTCACCAGGAGGTCAGGAGCACTTCCCCAATTGCCCCAAATTGATGCTTGCTGCCTATTTTAACATAGGATCAAGGATGAGAATCGAAATCTCTGATGATGACAGTGGTGCCTCGAAAATCACGTGTTAATGGATTTTGATTCCCTCAGCTGCCCCTCTCTCCCTGCAGCTCCAGTTTCATCACATCCCAACATTTCTGAGGTTCCCAAAAATCACAAAATTGCAGGGGATGGAGGCAATGCCCTCTGGGATCTGTGTATCTCTCCAGGGATGCTGCACCCCTAAAACCCCTCAGGGCTGGGGACACCACAGGCAGGCGCTTTCCTGCAGCTCTGCCCCAAACCCAGAGCTTTGGATGGTGAACTGGAACTGGAGCTGCCTTTTCCAGCTGGATCCAGGTGCCCTCGCCCTGCTGGCACCTTCCCCTTGGCTTCCTGCAGCAGCAGTGGGAGCAGAGTTGCCTGTTGTGCTGCTTCACCCCACACCAGCTGCACTTCCAACATCTTAAAGGTCGGGAAAAGGCACCGTGAAAAGAGCTGAGCTGCTGTGGTTTTGTCTCTCTGTCCATCACTTTTTCAATTTGGCTGCTTCTGGGCACTGGGAGTGGTGTGGACACCAGCACCAGGGTGTCCCTGCACCTCTGCTCTGTGCTACTCAAGATCCTGAGTTGGACTTGATATTCCAAAATGCTCCTGGAGCTGCTTGGATGCTAAAATCCCTATTTTTCCCGTATTGCACATTCTCTTTGTGGAGGTTTCCAGCCATGATGCTGCCTCTTAACCGCACAGCTTTGCTCAGAATTTTCTTTTTCAGCCTGCAGCTCACAAGCTGCCACTCCCCTCCAAATTTTCAGCATTCGGGCTTTCCCCTCATTTTATAAACCACTGAAGCAGCAGCTTGTGCCTTCCCTGACCGTTGAGATGGGGGTTCCTCAAACGCCCAGATTTTTGCTGAGGATGTGATCTGGGCCTGTCAGGGTGCAGGTGGCAGCTGAGGGATGTCCTGTGTGTGCTTCCTCCCAAGGTGACCCCCTCGGCGGGCAGCAAGCTGAAGCGCCCCACGTTCCACTCCAGCAGGACCTCCCTGGCTGGGGACACCAGTAACAGCTCCTCCCCAGCCTCCACAGGTGCCAAAACCACCCGGGCAGGTGAGTGAGGGGAAAAGGTGGGAAAAGGTGGGAAAAGGTGGGAAAACTCCCCCCCGGTGCAGTGGAGAAAATACAGAATATTTGAGGGGTGGGTGGTGGGCAAGGAGAGGCTGGCACAGCTCTGCAGCTTAATGCATCAGGAGGAACAGAACTCAGGGCATCAGGAGGAACAAACTTAGGGCATTGAGAGGATCAAAATTTAAGGAATCAGGAGGAACAAAGGGCATTGAGGGGATCAAAATTTAAGGAATCAGGAGGAACAAAGGGCATTGGGAGGAACAACACTTAAGGCATCACAAGGAACAAACCTTAGGGCATCAGGAGGAACAAACTTAGGGGACTGAGAGGATCAAAATTTAAGGAATCAGGAGGAACAAAGGGCATTGGGAGGAGGAGCAAGGGGCATCAGGAGCAGCAAACCTTAGGGCATCAGGAGAAACAAAACTTAAGGCATCAGGAGGAATAAAGGGCATCAGGGGAAAAACTTAGGGCATTGAGAGGAACAACACTTAAGGCATCACAAGGAACAAACCTTAGGGCATCAGGAGGAACAAACCTCAGGGAGGACACTGGGAGGAACAAAACTTAGAGCATTGGGGGAACAAAAGGCATGAGGAGGAGGAAAACTTAGGGCATCAGAGGGAACAAACCTTAAGGCATAGGGAGGAACAAAAAACTTAGGGCATTGGGAGGAAGAAAAATTTAAAGCATCAGGAGGAACAAAACTTAAGGCCTCAGGAGGAACAAAGGGCATTGAAAGGAGCAAAACTTAAGGCATTGGGAGTAACAAAACTTAGGGCATTGGGAGTAACAAAACTTAGGGCATTGGGGGAACAAAAGGCATGAGGAGGAGCAAAACTTGGGGCAATCAGAGGAACGAAACTTAGAGCATCAGAGGGAGCAAACCTTAGGGCATAGGGAGGAGCAAAACTTAGGGCATTGGGAGGAAGAAAAATTTAGAGCATCAGGAGGAACAAAACTTAAGGCGTCAGGAGGAACAAACCTTAGGGCATCAAGAGGAAAAAAGGGCATCAGGAGGAACAAAACTTAGGGAGGGCATCAGGAAGAACAAAGGGCATTGAAAGGAGCAAAACTTAAGGCATTGGGAGTAACAAAACTTAGAGCATTGGGGGAACAAAAGGCATGAGGAGGAGCAAAACTTAGGGCAATCAGAGGAACGAAACTTGGAGCATCAGAGGGAGCAAACCTTAAGGCACAGGGAGGAGCAAAACTTAAGGCATCATAGGGAACAAAGGGCATCAGTAGGAACAAGAGACATTGGGAGGAACAAAACTTCCTTAGGGCATTGGGAGGAACAAAGAGCATCAGTAGGAGCAAGGGGCATCGGAAGGAACAAACCTTAGGGCATCAGGGGGAACAAACCTTAAGGCATAGGGAGGAACGAAATTTAGAGCATCAGGAGGAACAAAACTTAAAGCATCAGGAGGAAAAAAGGGCATTGAAAGGAGCAAAACTTAAGGCATTGGGAGTAACAAAACTTAGGGCATTGGGAGGAAGAAAAATTTAAAGCATCAGGAGGAACAAAACTTAAGGCCTCAGGAGGAGCAAAGGGCATTGAAAGGAGCAAAACTTAAGGCATTGGGAGTAACAAAACTTAAGACATTGGGAGTAACAAAACTTAGAACATTGGGGGAAGAAAAGGCATGAGGAGGAGCAAAACTTAGGGCAATCAGAGGAACGAAACTTAGAGCATCAGAGGGAGCAAACCTTGAGGCATAGGGAGGAGCAAAACTTAGGGCATTGGGAGGAAGAAAAATATAGAGCATCAGGAGGAACAAAGGGCATTGAAAGGAGCAAAACTTAAGGCATTGAGAGTAACAAAACTTAGAGCATTGGGAGGAACAAAACTTAGAACATTGGGGGAACAAAAGGCATGAGGAGGAGCAAAACTTAGGGCATCCGAGGGAACAAACCTTAAGGCATAGGGAGGAACAAAACTTAGAGCATCAGGAGGAACAAAACTTGGGGCATTGGGAGGAAGAAAAATTTAGAGCATCAGGAGGAACGAAACTTAAGGAATCAGGAGGAACAAAGGGCATTGGGAGTAACAAAACTTAGGGCA